ATCAAAGCTGGATGGAAAGCCCCTGATTTTGACTCTCCTGGTGCCATCTGAGCGGCCGCTGAGCCCGTGAAATAAACGCAGGAAGTTCTGAGGATGCTCCAGGGAGCTGAACAAACTATACAAACGTATAAAATCACTTCGTATCCACCCCCCAACATCGGTGCCTTATTTGGCCACAGTTTTCCACAGAATGAGGTGCTACAGTGGCATTTTAATATTAGGGGGGGAGCACACTTCTAATTGTCACCTGGCTGATCCTACATTACAGATTGTTTCTTTTTTCCCCGTGTAACACTTTTTTTTTTTTTTTTTTTTTAATCCACATTTTGAGCTCATACCCTGGGCTTGTCTGCTGGTCTCTGTCTGAGCGTCTCCCCCTCCATGGTCCTCTGTTGTTTAGCCTGATGCCTTTGGAAGCCGCACCCGCATTTAAAAACCGCCCCCTCCAAAAAAGTCTCTCCGGACACCGACGTTTCAGACGCCCACCTGGCTGGAAGAGGCGCCTGAGTTTCAGTGTTGAAAACAAACCGGGTTCCGGTTAGAGTTCCGTGGACTTCGAAACGGAACAAAACAAAGAAAATACAGCATCCAGACCAGCGCCCTCAGGAGTGGCCCCGGGGGCGGGAGCCCGGGGGGGCCTCGCTGAAGGCCGGGGAGCCTGGCCCCTGTGGCGTCGCTGGGCTGGGCTGCATCCCGGGAGGTGGGCTGCAGGACAGGGGGACAGGGGGACAGGGGGACGGGGACAGGGCCTGGCTGCTGGCCAGGTGAGGCCGGTGCTGTGCTCTGGCCAGTTGAAGGGTTAAATATAAACCAGGTGTCAACATGTCTCCTTGGACAGACGAGTCTGCCTCCCCTTGGCTTCTCCTGCCTGATGTGGCCCGAGGACGCCTTAGATCTAGTGTCCCAGGGAGCCTGGCCCAGGACCCGCAGGGCCCAGAGCTCTGCCCCGCGCTGGCCGCAGCTCAGGAGCGGCACATGGAGGGCCCGGCACCCTTGGGTCTACGGGGTTCTCAGCCGGTCTACACACATCCACCATCACAGCCCTATCTCAGTCCCCAAGTTATTGACCCTCTAAACACAGAACCAATGCCTTTGAGAACAAGGAATCCCAAGGGTATTTATTCTGAGTGACTTGACTACACACCTCCTGTCCGGGGCTCAGGGAAATGGCCTTTATTATTCCAGGGAAACGTCAAGACCACTGAGTGTCCCGGACGGTGACCTGTGTTAGGCCGAGCACCCTCTCCCCCGGCTTCTCATAAAAACACACATCAGAGGTGGCTTCAGAGAGAACGTCAAACTCAGTTAGAGGGACGGACCCCGTCAGAGTCACTGGGAGCATCAGATATAACAATCACTTGCCGTCGGCTGAGCCGGTGTTTTCTCCGGCTGCCTCGTGCCGACGGGTTTAGTGACCTCAGGTGTGTGGTTCTACCTGACCGCGGTCAGGCCCCAGCCCTCGCCACAGTGACCCCTGCTGGAGGCGGGTGGGACTTTGAGAAACGCCCTCTTGACCATTAAAAAAAATGTATATGACCACTTACAAAATCATTTAAAAGATTATGTTCTAGGTCGGCCGGTGTGGCTCAGTGGTTGATGGACCCAGGCACCAAGAGGTCCCTGGTTTGATTCCCGGTCAGGGCACGTGCCCAGGTTGCGGGCTCGATCCCCAGCAGCGGGCGTGTAGGAGGCAGCTGATCGATGTTTGTCATATCGATGTTTCTCTCCCTTCCACTCTCTCTAAAAATCAATAAAAAAATTATTTTTTAAAAAGAACTGGAGTTATTAGGGCACAGTAAGCTCTACACAAAAATTAGATTTGGCACGATTCTTCTGCCCATCAGTTATAAGTGGCATGTTTCCTTTTGTGTGTCCTCGCCGAGTTTAACGCTTCAAGTATCGACCAAGGACGACGGATCACCCCACAAAATACCCAGAGAGGAAAAGCATCTATTTGCATGGACTCTTTTTGACTCCACTTTTACTCAAGAGCTTCAGTGTCCAGTAGAATGAGAGCATAAAGACTTTTTTAAATGACCAGGCTGGGTATATCAATATTTATTGAAATACTGAAAAAAAAAAAAATTCCATGTTGTTGAGATATCCTGGCAAGTACGGACACAGCAACGTGTATTTCACTGATACAGTCAGAAAACGGGAACAGGTAACCGACTTCACACTCTACACATCGCGCGGACGCGGGTCTGAGGAGGCTGGAGGTCAGGGACACAGATACGCAGACTGTACAGGTCGGCCGTTAACACGCACACAGACCAACAGTGACCAAGAGGCTGAGCCAAAACCCCGCCTAGGGGGCCTGCTTTTCCCGACACGTCCCGTCATCACGAGGCCCTTGCTAAGGAGACGTCTGGGTACACAGGTGAACTGGACACATCTTACCTGCCGGCTTCGGATGGGACACTCTGGGTTGCTCACGGTGTAATTTACTGGGCTAACGACTTACCAATATTTGACATTTCTTAGGTTTTATATGCATTGGGGACTACTGTATATTTAAACTAAGAAGATGTGGTACTTTTTTTTTTTTTTTTTTTTTTGCAGTTTCAATAGCTCCCAAATAACTCACCCGGCCCCCAATCTCCGAATTGCCCCCATTGGTGTCCCAGGTATATGATGGGACCATCTCATTCACTGCCGACAGCCTGTGTCTTGCAGCCGACTTGTTCTGGACGGGAGAGCGTGCTTTGGGTACGGGCTCGGACCAGCTCGCTTCCATTGCCCTTTGAGCCACGAACAGAACAGAGGTGCCCCAGACCCCACATGAGGAGCTGTGGACACTTGGCTTGGCCAATGTGCACCCTCTGCGTGGAAGCGTATTCGAGGTGATTAATAAAAATAATAAAACAACCCTCTTTGGACGCATGGACGTGGTAACTAATATCTTTGGTATACACTTTACACTTGGAAAGCAAAACCAGGTAGGATGCCACCCTTGTTCAGTCACTTGAAAACAGGGAGCCACATGTCACATAATTTACAATAGAAACGTTAAATAAACTACAGAAATAATTATGAAGATTTACAGACATTTAATCAAGTGAATGATTTTAATTCATTAAGACCCTTCTCCGTCCCTGAACTCATGTTCCACTAACTCGAAGACATGCTACAAGTAAACACATATGTTTGGTTTCTTTAGTCTTGGCTATATCTTATACAGAGGTGAAACCACGGAACAATAAATTAGCATCATAATCGTCTACAGTCGAAACTATGATATACAATATAAATAAACTATTCCAAAGCCAGAAACATTTATGAAAAAAAAAAATTAAGGGACTAGGAGATACTTTCATTTTATTATTATTTTTTTTTTACAGTTTCTACAAGTGATTGTGCCGCCAATAATCTCAAAAAAATTTAAAAGTCTAAATGAGATTCCTGGTTCTGATTTTAGTGTCTCACGACATACAATAATTAAGTACAGTTAAAAATAATTACCGATCAGAAAAATAACATTACGGAAATTACTGCTTCAGCTGCTTTGTCCTATCACGGTTCCCTTCCCCGCCCCCCAAACAGGACCTAAGGAATGTAAACACTATATTTTATTTGACTTTAAAGTGTTAATACTTTATTTTAAATGTTGATTCACATCTGCACAGCTACCTTTCGGGATTGTGAAGTAAGGCAAGACTTCCTGCGGCATTCGTTGCATGTTAATAACACTGATAGCGACGTCTGGAGGGTTCCTGGGGCAGTTCTCTGCCCTCCCGTATTTGTTCTACAGACTTTGGTCTATGGGTGGGAAAGGCCAGTGTCACCACTCTTTCCCTTTCCCTTCTGGGGAAGATCTAAATCATTGTAATATCTTTCCAGCCACATGTAAAAAAATAATAATAATCGTTTCCGTTCTGTGTTAGGGGATGTTCGATATCGAGTCGATCAATTTATAGCTCCCCAGGCTTCATTTTGTCTCGGACTCCTTACAACTGTGACTACGAGACATCCCAGCAGAACAGGCCGTGAGTTTTATTTTTCAATGTACTACAAACTCGGGTGCTTACACAGACTGATGGATCCTAACAAGCCTTTGGGCCAGAATTTTTTTTTTTTTTTAAATGAATTTCAACCATGCGGAAGCCACATCGCAGTAACAGTAGCAGAAATGAGGTCTCGCTGACCTCAGCCGCGGCCTGTGAGCTTTGAAAGTTTGTAGCCACTTTCCTTAGTGTTCATTAGAGCTCGTATCAGGTCAGAAGAGGGATACTGCCTGGTTTTTTTTTTTTTGCTTTTTTTTGTTTTTTTTTTAACATTATGAACACATGACAAAACAAACCAGGACGTATTTTAAAATGGCAAGCTAACGTGTTAACAGACTGTTCTTAGAAGCTGTGCGCGGGTCTCGGACACAGACTTTCAAAATCAGGCGGCTCAGGATTGGGCGGAGCTTCCAGTGGGTGCGGCTGAGTCCTCGGGGTAGGTTCCCCGACGGGTCTCGGGGCGCGGAAGGTGCTGGGTCCCCGAAGGGAAGGGAGGGGGCGAGTCCAGGTGTAGCTGACGGGTTCCGGAGGCTTGTTCCAGGTCCGCTTCCCCGAGGAGGAATGCTGCAAGCTCGGATCCCCCGCGGCGGCGGCCTAATTAACGACACAGATCAGTCCTTCAATTTCTTCATAGCGGAGATCGGTTTAAATATACAAGAATCGCTCAGTCCGTTTTTCACTCTGACGTGGGGTCGGCGTCCGTCGGGGAGCTCGACCCACCCCGTGACAGCGTCTCTCTCGCGTGGACGGACCGCTCTGGGGACTCGGAGCTTTGGATTCACAGTTGACAATACAAATACCCTGATACATCATTTATTTGCTATTAAGTATCCGATTATTATGTCTTTTTTTTTTTTTTTTTTTAAATGCAATGCCTTTAAACCAAGTGTTGCATCAGTGTCGCTTGGAGCAGTCCAGAGTTGTCGTTTTTCCTTCCTTCCTTCCTTCCTTCCTCCCCCCGCCGGTCGCCGTCGGTCGGAAGGCGGCTCGGCCGGCTCAGGCGCGCTTGGCGTGCAGCATCTCGATGAGGAGGTTGTTGTAGGGCACGTCCCCGTTGAGGTGCTTGTAGTAGAGGTATTCCTCGGCCTGCATGCTGATGGCCCGAATCTCCGGGAGCCGCAGCAGCAGCTGCCCAAACTTCTCCGCCTGCTGCGGGTAGTTACACATGGTGTAGTCCAGCAGGGCCGCGTGGACTTGCTCCTGGACCCCTTCCACCAGCTGGAAGTTCTCGAGGTTTTTCACATCTGGATAGAAAGAGAAAGGAGAAAAAAAAACACACACACTTTCAATGGCGTTTCATTTCTGCTGTGTTTTTTAAATCTTTCCCCGAGGAGTGGGGAATATGTTTTTCCATTGATTTTAGAGAGAGTGGAAGGCAGGGGGAGAGGGAGGGAGGGAGAGAGAAAAAGATCGATGTGGGAGAGACACATGATTTTGGTGGCCTCTGGAACATGCCCCTACCAGGGCTGTAGGGGATGGAACCTGCCACCCAGGTGTGTGCCCTTGATGGGGATTCGAACCCATGACCCTTCCGTGTGTGTGTGGGCTGGCGCTCTAACCACCGACCCACACCGGCCGGGGCTCAGCGGCGTCTCATTTGTGTTTACTACAGGTAGGGGCTTAATGCATGGAGGAGGTCCCTCCTCACAGACAGCCCACTGCCTACGCTGCCGAGTGTCCCGTGAGCCCCACTTGCCCGGCTTCCCGGGAAAGTGTTCCAAGAAGGGCCCCGGAAGAACGTCCGGTCGAAATCCGCCTACACCGCACATCAATTAGACACCAGCGGGTTTCGAGCAAGGTCAACTCTTCTCATATCTTACGACGGGGAGAGGTCGAGGGTTCCAAGAGAAGAGAGATCATTATATCGCCGGCAAATGAGTCCCCGGAGGGAGACCGATCCGAACCCAGTGTATTGCACAATTCATGTAATTTCGTATTAATTTTTCTGACCCAAGGTGAAATCTGTGTCCAGGGTCTGATGCAGTTAATTCTAATAAGAAGTGACAGGGTTCCTGTTTCTGTTTGACACTTTCTAAATGGCTGTGAAGGCCTCTGACTCGCCGAGCCCATGCTAATAGGCCATCTGGTACACTCCAGTGACTGCCCGCGGAGCGCGCGCTGCTGGGGACGCTCGGAACACAGAGCCCGGTGACTAATGATCTTGATCAAATGAGAGCCTGTCCTGTGGGCAGAAGAGTCGCCAGGACGGCCGGCGCCCTTTCACCCGAACGCGGTGTCTGGAGTCTGGGACTTTGCTCTGCTTTCCGCCCTGGGTCACTCGGATAGAGATGAGGACACTGGCTGCCCACTCGGCCTCGCTCCTGGGGACCATCTCGTTGTTTTAAGGCATCTGCTGCCCGAGTGGTCCTTATAAATACAGAGTGACCGGGAGACACAGTCAAGAAAAAGACTGACACACACACTGACAGTGAGCTTGGAAAATGGATACATTGTAATTTCTCTTCTGAATTTTATACAATGTATCTATAGAAGCCTCTGGGAAAGATAGTGTGTGTGTGTGTGTGTGTGTGTTTGCACACATCCTGCTAAGGAAGGAAACCATGGCAGCCACCCCCCCGCCCCGCTTCATTTTCTATTTTGACAAAAATCGGAACGATTCTGAAGAAAACCACGGAATACGGTGACTCAAAGGTTGAATGTACCAAATTCAGTTCGCAGTTGCCATAGTAACTCCTGCCCAACAGTTCAGGCTACGAAACAGCGGTTCACAGGTGCGCGTCCAGCCTGGGATCTCCGGACGCTTTTAGAGTGAGGCCGCCGAGCGCTTGCTGACGGGACGCGCCCACGGTGATTTCTGTGTTTACATCTGAGCCACAAGTCCGCGCTCACCACGCTTCCCCCTGTCCACCCCCAAATCTCTGCCCCAAATGGAAGGCAACGAGGAGCTGGTGTTGAAATAGATACTGTGAGCCTTGGATACCACTTTTATTTCAAGGTGAGATGGGAGAATCAAAAATAGTTGGTAGCTTATGAGTGAAAGGACGCAAAGGCCACACTGTCAGGAACTCTGGCCTTTACACCGGCAGCCAGGTCGTGTCTACCTGGCCTGTTACCACCCGTCCCACCTCCCATCCATCTTACTAAAGATACTTAAGCATTACTATACATTATTTAAAAATACAAGTATTCGTTACACTTGGTTCAGTGCTACAAAATGGAAACAACTGGAAACACCTGGATGCGCCGGACCTGGGTCCTTGACAGAAGAACCTGCCTTCACCTTAGCTTTGCCCTCCGCCCCGCCCGCCACCCTTCCACGGGCTCAGCCGGTGACCCACACAGGTCCTTCGTCTGCACCACAGCCGGGAGCCACGTCCCCCCAGTGTTTCGGCGGTGTCTCATGCTGGATCTCAAAGTCACCTGTGTTTGGCACGGGCCATGTGCTCCTTCGAAATGTACACGAGCCTTGTTTTATAACACGACTTAAACACAGGCTAATGAACCCCATCATTACCCATTCCCGGTTGAAGATGGTAAACAAGACAGACGTTTGCTCAAGCCCTTTCTCGATAGCCTTTAAATTTTGATGACTGGCCAAGCACTTGCTGTTGCTCCTCTAAGTACCCGTCTCTCATCTATTCTATTTTATTCACTCGGGGACTAATTACCAACTTTTCATATGAAGCCGCATTATGAGCAGCTCGCAGTGGGATGCTCAGATGTTTTCCATCCTTATTGGAGAGTAAACCCTTAGGTCTTCTTGAATATATTACATCCCCAGCTTTGCAGGCGGCGTGCGCTATCAGAAGATGAAGACGCTGGTTTCTGCCGCCCTGGTACCTGCCACGTGGCACAGCCCTCGAACCCTCCCGTTCAGCACACTTTTCTGTGGCGGGTCCTTTGCTGAGCATGGGGGCCGGGGGGCTGGGAGGCCCCCGTGGAGTGTGCTGTCTTCTGCTGAGAAGACGATTAGCTTTGTTAATTTTCCACACGTGCAGTAAAAAAAAAAAAAAATCTCATCTTGCCCTTTAAAAGATCTGAAAGTGGGGAACACGTCTCCTTGAGGTTCTGNGGTAAAAAAAAAAAAAACTCATCTTGCCCTTTAAAAGATCTGAAAGTGGGGAACACGTCTCCTTGAGGTTCTGGGAGGGACGGCCATCCGTGAATTGGTACAGTTTGTCCTCAGGAAAACCTTTGCTTTGATAAGCCGGACAAGGAGAGAGGAAATGAAGTTTCTGTAAGAAATTCATTTTTGAAATTATTTTTAAAGGGCTGCATTGCAATAATTTGCAAAAATGGTTTCTTAAGAACATTTGGAGATCAACATGCCGGTTCTCATTCGCTTACTGGAAGGCAAGGACTGTTCAGGGGTTGGGGACAGATAGGGACGCGGAGTGTTTTTAGTGCCTACGTCTGAGGCTGGCAATTTCCAGCAAAACTTCAGACTCTGGACTTTAAATCTATCTCCGTTGAGTCCTTTAAAAATATGTATGTGTGGTGTGTCTGCTTATTAACCTGAGAGCTCTTTTTAGCAACTAGAACATACAATTCAGCGCTCTCGTATGCAAATTACTGATAAGAAAACACAACCCCAGGCAAGAGCTGTGTGTAAAAATGTGTGCATATAGCACATGGGTTATTTATGAACATAGGAATAATGAAACATAGTAATGCCTGCAGTCAGGTGTAAGTTTGTTCTTTCTATGTACATAAATAACACATATGCTACATGCACACATTTTCCACACAGCTCCTGCCAGAGTTACATTTTCATACCTTCATGTGTATACAATGTATCAATTCACTCGTGGACTCATTCATTCATCCTGACAGTCCTGGGCCAGGATCCCGGCGGGCTGGCCATGGGGGTCACAGTCCTTATCACAGAGACTGTCTGTCCCCCAGAACGTGAGTGTCCGCTCCCTACAAAGCGGCCCCTCCTTGGAGGAAAGCTTGTCCCTGGCTCCCACGGTCGCACCCTCATGCAGGTTTTGAGTCCTACGTTGGCATCGATCGCCATTCAAACACTTTCGTGTTTCTTCGCAAAGTTCTCTCGTTCTCCGGAATCAGCTATGAGGGTCAGTTCTTGCAGGCGGTGAGTCGGGACTATGAATAAACCAGCGTTACCATATGAAAGAGAATTAAACAGGCGGGTCCAAGTGGGGATACATTAAGCCAAATTTCAGCTCCAGTTGTTGAGTTTTAAGCCCGCGCTAGAGGTCTGGTTTGCCTCGGGATAAATCCAGCTTCCCAGCTAATCGAAAGGGGAAAACCGCCTCAGGTGTGATAAAATTTACAAGAGAGGCTGCGGAACAGCTCTTGTTAAAAATATTAGCTTAAAGGCATTCTTATCGTCTTTGGGATGAAGACTGTATTTGCATTTAATTATTTGATTTCAAACTTTTATGAGCTGGGATCAAATATTAGCTCAGCCAATTAAAATAGGACTCGGCGTGCGTGTGGCTGAGAGCCCGGGATTGCGAGTTACTCGATAGTGTCTGCAACTTTCTGGCTGACTTTCTAAGAGATGCTTTCTAAGGGATCAAAAGAGGGAGCATTTGAGAATATAAATGTGCGTTTAGTGGACAAGGTATCACATTCGGACAGTTGACGTGAGACATGTTTCCACGGTGCGGCGTTGGTCCAGGCGATGAACACCGCTGGGCATTTGCACCCACGCGATCAATACTGCTTCATAATTCAGCATTTGAAAGAAATCCCATTCTTTTAAAGGGCTCATGGTTGTTCAGGGGCCACAGCGCAGTTGCAGCGCCCGGAGCAGCTTCCTGTGCGGCTTTGTGCCCCATGGACGGCTGGCTCCAGCCGGCTTAGGCCTTAGAGGTGGCGAGGGATCTGGGCTCCTGCAGAAGGGGGACAGGGAGGAGCAGGGAGGAGGGTCCCCCGGGGAGAGAAGTTTGTGTGCAGCCTCAGAGCAGAACACGCTTCAGAAATCTCCTCAACATGGAATTGCTGAGGAAAGGCCTCCAACAATCTCTGTGACATCACCAGTTTGTTTGAGAGCCTGTATCCCGCACACCTCGATGCCACAGGGGGCCGGGCAGGAAACCTTGTAAAATCTTTTGTTGGACTCAGTCCTCTGGCTCCAGGGCCAGGACATGGCAGGACTACCCGGTGCCAGGAAGACACAGGTGTCGTCTTCACTGGTCCTCCCCCTCCCAGTTCCCTGGGTCATGTGGCCCTCGGGGCCATCTCTGCAATGAGTTGGCTGCAGTCCCTCCGGTGGACGTGTCTTTAGATGTGAATGAGCCACGAATGCCCTGAT